AAGAGAATTTTAATAACATGATGCACTGTCGGTATATGACTCCAGAAAAATTGTCTAGAATGTATAAAGGTACTTCAAATTTATGTTGGAAACATGAAGGGTTATTTTATGATGCCTGGTGGCCCTGTAAAAAAACCTCTGGGTTCAAATACATATAATGATAGAAAGAATTTTAAAGATCAACATTCAGTTGAAACCAGTACTTTTTTTGCTGGGATTAATGGATAGCCAATTAGAAAAGAGCCATGGGAGATTATTTTTTTATATGATTACTGCTGGAAGACTATTACTGTATCTGCGCAAAAATGGAAAGTCTCTGAAATACAAGTAGTTCTCAACTTATGACTGCAATTGGGACTGGAATTTCCATCAATAAGCGCAACCACATCGCTTACCAATGGCAATCCCTACAGTCCTGGTTGCCATCATTGACTGAATCCCATGGTCATTAGGTGAGACAACTTCCTGCCAGCTTCCCACAACCAAAGTCAGTGGGGAAACCAGCAGGAAGTTGCATGTCCCATGCCTGCAGGCAGGTAAGTAGCTGCTGCTGGGTGGGGAAGGGAACAAGGAGGTGCGCAAGAGGTGCAACATTGGTTGGGGAGGGTGCGAAAGGATGCGTGAGAGGCACCACGTGGGTCGGGAGGGTGCACAAGGGTGCATGAGACGTGCTGCGTCGGTCAGGGAGGGTGCAAGAGGCATCAGGCAGAATGGGGAGGGTGTGCAAAGGTGTGATGGATGCACGAGAGGCACCGCATGGATCAGGGAGAGTGCATGGAGGTGTGGGATGGATTGAAGAGGGTGCACAAGAGTGCGAGGGGTGCATGAGAGTCACCCTGTAGGTTGGGGAAGGTACACAAGGTTGTGGGGAGGTACATGAAAGGCACCGCACAGGTTGGGGAGGGTGCATGGGGTGTGGCGTGTGTCAGGGAGAGTGCGCAGGGGTGCGTGAGTGCTGGCATGCACAAGCACAAAGGGACTAGGGGAGACTGCGCAGGTGGGGGACACTTACCCAGCAACTTGCAACCTTCCCTACTGGCTTCCCCATTGACTTTCTGGGGAAGCTGGCAAGAAAAATTGCAAATGGCAATCATGTGATCATGGGGCGCTTGGCAACTGGTCATAAGTGCGAATGGGTTGCCAAGCACCCAAATTGCTATCACATGACGTCAGGGGTCCTGGAATTTTGGGGACCAGTCGTAACTACCACTTGTTCAGCGCCGTTGTAACTTGGAACGGTCACTGACTGAATGGTTGAAGGTTGAGGACTACCTGTACCCACAATGGAGGAATGGTTGGTGAAAATCACAGAACTAGCAGATATGGAAAATTAACTGATTAGAGAAAGATCAACAACTTTCAGTGTTGCAGTGACTGCCAATCTCTTATGAAAAAAGAGAAAAATGAACTTGTGGTTTATGGGTTTGAAGATTAGAAGGGTAGCTTATGGAAAGAAGGAAATTATGATGTAACTTTAGAGAGAGAAGGCATTATAAATGTATTTATAACCACTGTCAAGAAGATTGGAAGCCGCTACTTTATAACTTTTTTTTTCCTTTTCTTCTTTTCCTTTCCTTTTTCTATTTCTTTTGCCATTGTCTATTTTCTTTTTTCACTGTTTTTTCTTTATTATCTTTATTAGCCTCATCTCATCATTATTGCACAAATACCCAGGGCACACAGGGCAATTCTACACCTCCCTGCTGCTTTCAGATACCAACCCTGCTACAACGTACAATGTGGCCAGGTTCTGCACAGCAGTGCTTAAAATGTGTCGGATGATGTCCTGTGCCATAAATTAGACTTAATGAGCTTCTAGGTCAGCATACTAGAGTGCTCTGTAATTTGATATAGTCTTCCATATACTAACCTTTATGCTCCTACACCCATCTAATTCCCACCACTGCCTTGTTTCTGAAGCCCCTGCACTCACTGAAAACTATTGCAGAGAACTGAGGAATTGCCATGAAGAATATGGCCAGTTGCGCAGAGGCTGCAATGAAAGGAAGCATGGCCAAATTACACGAGGCATATTGCGTGCCTGTGTGCAATACTGCTCTGTCTCATATAGTTTTGTATTTCTGCTCACAAAACAGTTTCCTGTTCCGTTTCTTTGCAATATACTTTTAACCCATAATGTGAAGCTATCTAAGAGGAAAGAAGAATTTGTTCTCTTTTCAGATGTCAACCTCTCAGTTGGGAGACACTGGCTACACTCCATTATCTTTTACTATTAAATCGAATCTTTATTACGGTCATAGACCAGCATAGATCTTTTACTAGTTCTGTATGTACCAGTGATTATTAATAGCTGATAAACAAGGAACAGAATTTGTTTAAAAAAATGTTGTTAAATTCATTTATTTTCTTTCTTGAAGGTGAAACTCCAAGTTATAACTGGTTTGCATTTATTCTGAAAATGTGATCTATGCCACACAAATGTGAAGTTTGCATTTACTCTGAAAATGACAAAAGGCCACACAAGAAAGTATACCTGAGACTGCAACATCTTTAGCTTGCCCTGCAATGTGTGTTTTGCTTAATTATATAAATGGCCTCAGAAATCTCAGAACCATCATTTATTTTTTTAAACCAAAAATTAAATAAACATGTCAGCCTTTCTTTCACTTATAATCCCACCCTGGCAAATGCATCCATTTGGACCTATAAGGCCCACGCCATGGTCAGTCAGCAGTCAGGTTGGCATCCCTAAGTGGGTTGAAGTTTTGCATTGTCTCGCAGCCAAGGTGCCCTTGCAAACTATTGTGGAGGTAAAATTGGACAAGGAAGGAGAATAGCCTTCTCTATATGCCAAGAAGATGCAACTCAGAAGTTCAACTGTATGTGGAGGGCCTAAATATATATGATGGACAAACGAATGTTTTTCAGAGCTCTCCTTTCAGTTTCAATGTCAATCAGATATCTACAAAATATACTGTATGGCCTGTGTGTATGCTTATTTTTGTGCATGTTGCTCACTAATGTTCAAGCTTTTCATTAAATTTCAGCTAGTGCTTGCTTGCAATAATGCATCTGGAATGTTTTAATCACTCTCATCATTTTCACTGAAAGCTATAGATAACTTTGTATTTCATTGTCTTTCACATTTTCCCAATCCTCTTTTCAACTGCATTTCATTTTATAATTCTTTTCAGACATAAACATATACAGGAAGCAGGTAAAGTTGCTGGCAAAGAAAATATATTTGTCTCCTGTCTTTATTACGAGAGAAAGCAGGAAAATCCACTCACTTAGTAACTTTTTATAACTTTCTCAGCATGTCACACACATGACAGTCAGCCATGACTTATCACTGAATATTTCTCAATGTAACTTATGATAAATCTAGTTTTTTTTTCCATATAAGAATGTACTGGTGATGTCTTTCCCAGGCTGTTGAAGCTCAGATCCGAAGTTTTGGGCAGACTCCTTCCCAAGTGCTTATAGAGCCTCATCCTCCAAGAAGTTCTGCTATGCAGGTGGTAAGTTAGGTCCAAGTTTAATTTTCTGATGGAATAACTGCTCTGAATTCAAATACATAAAAGCACAAACCTTCCTTTTGTTTTAAATATATAAAATGCATACATTCTGAGATACAGAACAGAGCATGTACTTGTGAGTGAAACTTTTTAAAATACTAATTCTTTCACTGAAATTATAATCTATTACAGCTAATGAGAATTCCACTGAACTACATCATTCTTTGTGGCATAAGCTTATTTTCTAAAACGCTTTTTTTAAAAATTATTTTAGGTAAGCTCATTTAAGTTTAATCAGATGAATATGGTAATCTTTAAATAAAAACTAGACAACCCTGTGACCTATTGGATCACCCTTTGAGAGAAAGGTAGTGCAGTCTGATGTGACCAGAATGAACATTAAATTTTAGGCTGA